GGAAATCAGAGAGGGAGCGTTGGATATCCATGTCAATAAGGATGGGCGAATCTACAAAATCAACAATCGTCCGGTAATTTGCTTTGCATTTCTTCTTGTTTTTGGTATATCTGAATTTTCAGGTTTTTTGTGCTTTCTTTTTTGAATTGTATTTTTTGTAAGCATTTCTAATCTAATTAGCGTTTTCGACTTGTATTTTTGGAGAGTTCCATGACTTGCATTTTTATGCTTAGGGTTTTTATTGGTCTGCATTATGTTTTGGGATCGATATAGTTTTGCTTGTTGACTCAACATGCTTTAGCTATTCTACTTCAAAAACGTCTTAAATTGTTCATTTTTTTTTAAGATAAAACAAAGTGATCAGGATGATGCGGCAGTATTGGCCAAGTTAAAAGAGGATGCCAAAAAAGAAGAGTCCGGTGAAGGTCAGCTGTGATAATCGTTCCTTGCATGAATGATAGTGCTAACTTTCTTACCCCTTAGCCTCTTTCGCTTTTACGCTAGCTTTTTATCCACTAATTCCTTTTTTAAGCTTTTGCGCTAATTTTCATCTCACTAACCCTGCTTCGCTTCAAAAGTTTAGCCGGATCAGTTTCCTCGTTTATTTGGAATAGCAGCATCGCCCAGAAAGTTTTACGTTTGTAGTATCTTGCTTGTTTGTCCAGCTGTTTGTTTGCTTTGCTTGGTTCTGCCATTTGTATGCTTTATTCAGATTCAAGGCTTTGGAGGAGGGAGGGGGGCGAGGGAGGGAAAGATTGAATTCCGGTAATAATTGAGTTAAATCCGACGTCATTTTTTAGAATGAGCGCATCAGATGTAATTTGTAGTTGAATTCTTCATTTATTCAGCTGATAATTTTTCTAGTTCGTTTTTAACATTTTTTCTACGGTGTTGGCGTTCAGTTCTTTGGAAATAAGAGGCAACACATGTTGTTCTATGTTGTCTTTTATTTCCGAAAATTAAGGGTGAAAAAGCAGCTTTTCAAAACGCCAAAGTAAATTTTAATCCTCGATGGGCATCTTTTAGGGGGATAAATTTTTTTTGGCATTGAAATTGACTTCTTTAGCGTTGAAATTGACTTGGTC